CCCCAAAACCCCAAAACCCCAAAACCCCATGAACTCAATTAATTTGTAAATAAAATGCATTAAATTCCAAAATTAATAATATTAAATAAGTTCTTTTGAGGTAAAAATGTTGAAAAGAAAGCAAATATAATCAGCTAGAATGGAAATGCAATTCTAAACAGACACAATATAAAAAGATATCACACCAGATAAAATGAGACTTTGAGAAAATTCATTGAACTTTGAAGATTAAGAGGATGTAGACATAGAGGAAGAGAGCTTTGAGAATCTGAATGAAGATGTATAAAAAGAGTCTCAAGCTCTATCAAGTGATGTGATAATTCTCTAATAAAATTGAATTGAATTTGATAGAAAGTCAATATATCCATCATCGTCAACCATACCTCAAAATAGATAACTTATCTAAGAATCAAGTGATAATAATGAAGAAAACCCGCCATATCAAAAAATCCCAATGAAACTTTAGAAAACCTAAGAAGTAGAGAAGAAAAATAAATAAGAACTAGATGACTTTCAAAGATAAATTGCCTATGTAGATTAAGAGATTCATAAATTGAGATAGCTTCTTTAGTAAAAAGAGCTTGAGAAAAAGAAGGTTAAATAGCAAATCGAAGAGGAAATCTAATAAGAAATCTAAAGATAAGAATAGCTATCGAAGAAGTAGCTTGAGGAAAAGTTATAAAAATTAGAATAAGAATATAATGAAAAGCTATAAGAGTTATAAAAATTAAAAGAATCAAGGTTGAAGCTAATTTAACAACAGGCTTAGTAGGAGAAGCTGCATATCTAATAGGCAGAAGAGCAGAAGAAAATGTAATAGGAACAATTTTAAAGCTAGTAAAAATCAGAATTGAATTAACAAATAAACCAATAGTAGACAATATAATCAAAGCCAATCGTTTAAGAAGAAGTAAAATAGTAAATAACATAGTAAACTCAATAATAATCAGCAATGCCATTGGCTTAAAGTGAATAATTTTAGGATAATAGGCTTATAAACAAGAAAAATGTGAAATACCTTGAATGCAATATTAACATTATCGAAGACAATAAGAAAATCAAAGAATTCTATATAAAATTAGATGCTTGGTACAACTCAAGGAAATCAGCAATTAATATGGAATTTAAGAAAAGATACGGATAGGATATTGATGGAGTTCTTCAAAACTCCCTTAGCAGGCTTGAAAAACTTTAGGAGCTTGAGAAGTATCAACCTTAGTATGTTCCTGGACTCATTAAATAAATTAATTAAAGAAATGCTGACAATGTTATGCAGGCATTGTCATCTATTCAAGATACATCTGACCAGAAAAAGGTAGCTTATTACAGAGCTGCTCATGTTTTCTTCTTAAATATATTCAAATTGAGGCAGACTGGATAGAAGCTAGAGGTGTTTAAGTCCTAATACCATGATTTTTACTCAGACATTATTCACAACATCAATTACTAAATGCCATAGACTAACATCAAATCTATTTTAATGGGCAAAGCTTTATAGTATTCTTGCTTGCTGCTTCCCTACTACCCTGATTTAAAGAACTTTCAAGATGAGCTTGATATGGCTAACGCTATGGGTTACAGAAAAGCTGACCAAGAAAGAGAAAACTATGAAGAAACCAGTAACAGGATGAGTAATTATTGTAGACTAATGTTTTCGATTCTTGTAGATGATGCTCATATAGGAAGACTTTTCTAAATGTTTGTTTTGTATTTGAACTTTAGATTTCATCAACTTTCTTCTTAGATTATTTTTGATTTCCTTGATTTTACTGGATATCACCTATTGAGGAAATATGGAAAAGTTTTTGCTGAGATATTAGAGGGAATGCTTTGTAGAGGTGATGGCTATTGTGATAGATATGAAAAATATACAAGCGATCAAATGATAAATGAGATTTAAAATTGTGAAGATGTTGTAGGAGATGAGCCTGATAAAAGCAATACTGGCATAACTATTGTCGAAATATATAACAAAAAGTTAAGATCCTAGTGTGAATCACTTATCAAAGATTTTAGATAGAAAGGAATAAATAATAATCTGCCAAGGTACTGATCTACATTCTAATTAAGCTAAATTTAAGTTATTTCTAAGTGTTTTAAATATCTTATCTTATACATCTTGGGGTTTTGGGGTTTTGGGGTTTTGGGG